TAATATATATATATATATATATATATATATATATATATATACATATACATCCGGAGACAGAGTGAGGGAGAGAGGAAAGAAGCATGCCACACTTTACTGCAAAAGCATTTGAAGCTTTCTTCCTCCCATAGATTTGGCATCGACACCTAGATCAAGTTCAGAATTCGCAAATTCTGACTGCAAACTTGTAAAATTTCCAAAGTTTGCGTGGGGCCTCTGGACGCCAGCGGGGGAGTACATCGGCTCTTCCTAGCTCTGGCTTTTTAACTGCCTTTCTGTAAAGCTATATTCATGTTCAAAAGAAAGATACAAGGACACTTGCACGACCAAAAGTAAAAGAAGCAATGCAGGGAGTAATAACAAGACATTCAGCCGTTTAAGATCACCAAATATACCGAATGGCACAGCAGAAGCTACTGTAAACAAGGTGTTGGCAATAAAAACAGGGGCAGCAATTACGGTAACTACACCATGCATATTAATAATGGAATTGTTGCCTGTAGTACCATCCTTCCTTGGCGGCAGATCAACTGTAGTTGGTTATTTTGGCATGGATTTAAAATGACAGTAGAAGGCGGAAAATGTTTCACGTTTCCTGCCTTGGAGGAGCCATGGTCTGTTAGTCATTTGCGTTTGACTGTTCAACGACGTTGATAAAGGAGAATACAAGCAGACAACGGCCATCATACTAATGCACGCATTACGCCATACACACAGTAAAATCTGACAAGACACCGAGACAGTGTTCATACAATGTAAATTTATTGATAAGTATATATACATATATTTACACCTTTTTTTGGACCGCCTGCTGGTGCCCACGCGTCTGAACTCTTCAGTTTTGTTCGGCGTTCGCTTCTGCTGCGGCGCGCTCTGTACACACAGAAAACTCTTTGGAGCAGAGAGCAAACTAGTCAAACAGCACAAGCAAATCCGCCATTTGCTGCAAAAGAAGAACGGGTTGAAGGCTGGTGCAGTGCCTCGAGGGTAGTAACAGTACAGAGATTATGAAGCATTTTAACAATGTTAATACCAGCATCAATAGATGAAAATACAGGTGGCAGAAAGAGCGAATGCTAAGCGAAAGGAATGACAGGACATGCAATGACGTCAACAAACTGCACCCGCAATAAGAAGGGCAGCAAAACTGAGGGAAGATCCAAATACCGAAGCCATCACATTTGATTGTCTGAAGATGGTAAGTAGATTAACAGGAATGGGTGTAATGACACGAAGCAAAGGATCTATGTACACCTGCATGCATATGTATATGTATATGTATATATATACATGTATATACGTCTATATCTATATCTATACATATCTGCTTGCTTTAGATGGCACTAGCATCTACTCAGGCAGACCTTTAACTTTTGTTGAGAAGAACTTGTAGCAGAACTCGTACAACTTGTAGTCAAGCAAATTCCCCTCTAAACAACGCAAGGACCATTTTAAAACACTAATCGCAAGCCTTGCTTTACTAAACCCAAACCCTAGACCCTGAACCCCCAGCATGGCGCCTCAAAACCCAAGCATTTATTTCTCCCTTAAGCCTTCCGCCAACTTCACTGCACTGCCATCAACTGGGTTTAGGGACTAGGGCCTGGCGATTTGGGTTTGGCGGCCCTGAATAATCTAACCGGATGGATCCATTCCGCTTGTTGGGTTTGCCTTGATGACCTAACAACATAGAAAGAGAATAAAATGCGAAACGGGATGCATGCATCGAAGCATGCATGCGAAGGAGAAGAAGAAAGTCAATTACATACGCCTGCATACAACTAGGTGGAGCCAAGGCCGGCAAAACAAACGAAAACAACAATGAGGAACGAACAAAAAGCAGAAGAAGAGAAAAGGCTCTGTACACCAGCCGGGTTCAATAGCTTCACCGGTGAATAGCTTCACCGTTGATACCGTCGCAAGTTTAGATGAACGCAGTTCGGGATGTAGTTAATTGGAAGAACAATGTGGCGATTTATACATTTAGATGCGTAGGAATTAAAAGAACCATATATAGGTTTATGTAGTTGAAATTGGAGGGAGTCAGAAGAGATGGAACATATCGGAGAAGTGGACTGCACTGAGATAATCCAGTCCACTTCTCCAATATGTTCCATGTCTACGAATAAAAAAGGAAGCCAGAGAAGAAAACAAAGGCTTAGAGTGTACTTCTTTCGTCAGCTCCTTCAAAATAATGGGAAGATTTGGCGGGACGTTGATTTGCTCGGCGCAAAAAATACGCTCATATTTGCAGTTCTCCATCTTTGTACCGTAATCCCTAAACCGTTAAACATAGGGGCACAGTGCATTGGGTCAGCTAGATGCCGCGCGGTTTGTATTTGCTGCTTTCGCTCGGTGGATGCACCGGCGGCGATTAGGGGTGCCTAGAAGAACAAAGATCCTGAAAGCCTAAAGCCTAAACCTTGAACACTAGACCCTGGTCTCTTAAACCCCAGCTTATTGTGAACCCTAAACCCCATACGCCGAGTCGCACACTTTCTTGGAAGTTCGATAAAGAGTGGCAGCTGCTATTGTTTGCTGTTGCTATCTAAACCCGTTGTTTTGCGCGTGTTTATGAATTCTGGCAGCAGCCTTTTATGGAGGAAGCTGCAGTAGTAGCCCATTAAAAACGGGCAAAAAAGCCGGATAGTCTTTGTGAGATAATTACTCTTTTGTTTTTCGCGTTTTTCTTCTCCCGTCACAGACTCCAGTTCTACGATAGTCGGCTCGTTGTCTTCCGTAGCCACCCAGACGGCCGCGCCACCCCCAGTGCCTCGCAACAGCTGAAATAAGATATTCTTTATCATTAAAAGTAAAATTCAACGAGAGTGAACAAGCGTTTCGCAAAAAAAAGCGAAAAGGGAAGAAGATTTCAATCGACGGTACATGCGCCGCCGCCCCCCCGTCGCAGTTGCTGGCGCCCCCGCTGTATTTTAAATGAAAGCGAAGAGAGAAATTACTTTTTAATATTTGCTCATTTTATAGAGTTATTTTGAATATTGGGGTAGAGAAGATTTGCTCAGAAGTCATTTTTGTGAGGTCTAGGCGACGACTCGGCGCTCTGCACACTGCAGGACGAGTTACAACACCAGACCCCGGAGGTGAATGACGTACGCTTAATATGCTTTGTTTATTTCTAAGTCTCTATTATATAAGAAGGAGTAACAAGCATCAATAGGCAGCGACTGCACTGAGCACACCTCCTCTTCAGCGCGTAAGCATCGAGTGTATGTTTCTCTGCTTCCGCCTAAATAAAAGCAGGTTTCACAATATCAACACTCATTGCATCGAATCCACAGCAACAACAGAACTTCTGCTCATTCCCACCGAACAGAAAAGCGAATATGTTCTGTCGCCCTGCAATATCAGCTTGTGTTCTACTGAGTAATTAATGCAGTAAGGCCGCTTCTACTTCCCAGTGTAATGAGTTTTTCTTCCCCCGCGGATGGCCGTTGCTGTTGATGAAGCGTCCACTGAAAAGCAAAAGAAAGAATATAGAAGTAAGAAAACTACGTCTTTAAGAAAAAAACACCACGGGAAATAACAGAGGGTGCATATGCCCCGTGCATATGCCCCTTCTTTACTTTCTTATGTGATCTCTTTATACATCCAAAGGTAAGAAGAGGAAAAGGAATCAATGGCTCCGCATGCAACAACCCCAACCCTTTTGGTGAGTGCTGCAGTACATAAAATTGACAAGATTGCGTTTTCGTGCAACACCGGTGCACAAAGCTGACTTGACCTTCCCGCGTTTTTCTATTCGTACGCGGTTGGCTTTGCGCGTTTAGAGGCATCTCTCAGCCTCATTCCAATGAGACAATGAAAAGCAACATCATTAAGGACAGCGAAAAAGTGGCTGCAGCAACAGCGCCCATTCAGCAACAGCAACAAACAAAACTGCAACAACCCGCTTGCCTACGCAATATCCTTGCCTTTGTATCACTTTCGGGGAGTCTGCGTGAGCAGTTTGACGCTGAAGATCATCAAAGCATTTCGTCTTTCCTACTGTCTGCCTCCACGTTTTTATTTTAAGAACTCGCCTTCCACGTCTTCGTCCTCAGCCACCTGTGCACTTCAGAGGAACGAACGATAATTAGAAGCCCGTCGCACCACAAGAGCCTGTGCGCCTTGCTCCTTCACCTCTAGGCCCGAAGCCGTCAGTTCCCCTCCTTAAAGGCTAAGGAAGGGGCAGCAGCAGCCAGCGGGTGTCGCTGACTTTTTGTTTTTAATAATTGCGTATTCGTTTATTAACTTGATTATTCCCTTATTTGTTTTGCGAGCTGCAGTGGCAGTTGCAGTCTCTCCTCAGGGTTGTGCACCCTTTGATTCCCCCCGATTTGATTTGTTTCAATGATTCGTTTTATTTACACCCCGAAGAGAACCTCCTTTCGTCCTGAGCGCTTTAATACCCAACCACAATGAGCGGCACGAGCGGCGAAGCCGAGTCCCTGAGCTGCAGCAGCACCAGCCTTGCAGAGCCGCAGCAGCAGCAACAGCAGCAGCTGCAGCATGAACAGCAACAGCAGGACCTTGAGCCTGAAGATGTCGGCAGCAGCAAAATTCAGGTGTACCTACGGATGCGTCCCATGGAAGGCCGTTGTTACTGGCACCGCATCGGGGGTCCCGACAAGCGGACGTTGATAACAACTCCCCCTAGGGGCGACTCTGCTTTCAGTAGCAGTAGTAGCATCACTTTGAATAACACGCGGAATGAGTACAGATTCCAGTTTGACGGAATATACGACGAGCACGCGACGCAGGAGGAAGTGTTTAGCGATGTGGCTCTGCCTGTAGTCAACGACGCGCTTAGAGGCATTAATGGCACTATTTTCGCATACGGGCAAACGGGAACAGGGAAAACGTACACCATCACAGGAGGAGCAGAAGCATTTGAACTCAGAGGCATCATACCTAGAGCCCTAGCACGCGTCTTTGATTTTGTTGCTGGTTGCACCTCTCAAGAATTCTCTCTCGCTGTTTCATACCTTGAGATATACCAAGACAAAGGATACGACCTCCTCATGAAAGCAGAAAAGCCCAACAGCAACAGCAGCAGCAGCAGCCGGAACCTCGAGGACTTGAAGCGGGTGTATGCAGTAGCGGACGAGCAGGGCAATGTGTGTTTGCGCGGCTTGTCAGTAAACCCTGTAAGAACAGAGGAGGAGGCGTTAAATTTATTGTTTATCGGGGACGCGAATCGCATCGTCGCCGAGACCCCTCTAAACGATTGTTCAACGCGTTCCCACTGCATCTTCACTGTCTGGATAGCCAGCAAAGAGAGAGGCAGCAGCAGCACAAAGAAAGCGAAGCTGCACCTCGTAGACCTAGCAGGTTCTGAACGTGTCAAGCAATCCGGCACAAGACCAGGGGATTGCATCTTTCAGGAGGCATGTAGCATCAACTTAACTCTGCATTACCTCGAGCAAGTGATCGTCGCGCTGCAGCAGAAAGCAGCAGGACAGGCCACCCACGTGCCGTACAGAAACTCCCTCATGACCTCAGTGCTTAAAGACTCATTAGGGGGAAATTGTAAGACCAGAATGATTGCAACCGTTGCGCTCGAACTCTACGCAATCAACGAAACCATCAACACCTGCAGATTCGCACAGGCCGTCGCGCAGGTAAGAAATGCAGCAGAAATCAACGAAGAAGAAGAAGCATCAGCCATTATTCAAAGGCTACAAAAAGAAAACGAAAAACTCAGGGGACAGCTGCAGCTTGCAGCCGCAGCAGCAGCAGCTACGGGAGATGATGCAGAACTCACAGAGGAAGCAAATGCTATCTGCAGAGACGCAGTTGAACGATTTCTCATGGCAGAGGGGGCAGACCTTCAACTCCCTGTAACGGCGGCACGCGATCTGCGTTCTGCTGATGTTTGTTTTCGTCTCATGAGAGACAAGTACAAAGAGTTAAAAACAGAAATGACAGATGCAAATGCTGATGGTCGCTGCAGGCGCCGCGACTGCAAGGAGGCGCTGCAGCGGCTCCAACTGCATGTAGAACAAAGAGATGCTGAAATCGCAACCTTACTGGGAATCATACATCAAAGCTCAGACCCTGCATGCACCAACAGCAGCAGCAACGGGATCTATGATCCCTTAGGAGCGCTTACACGTGCTGCAGTTGAAGCAGCAGTGCGAGCAGGTTCTGGGTTTAGAGAAAGGGAAGGGGGTAAAGAAGAAGAGGAAGGGAAGCCCTGGCTAGCTGGGACCGAGGCCACCGCGTTGCTGAAAGACAGGGGCCGCGCGTTTGAGATGCTCAGACGCAGCGCGAGGAAAACAGAATTCCTTGAAGCAGATTCGAGACGCATGCAGGAGCTGTACGAAGAGGCAAACAAATGTAGGGAGGAAGCGTTGAAGGCAAAGGAGAAGATTGCCGAGGCGAGAAGCAGTCTAGAGAAAATCCGAATACGAAAATGCCTACAGCAGAGCGGCAATAGGGGAGAAATCATCTTGGACGAAGAGGAAACTCCAGAAGAGACCCAAGTTCTGCAACAGGTCGCTGTTTGGCGTGACGAATACATAAAAAATATCAACGAACTAAGTGCTGCTAAAAGAGAACTCAAACGCCTTTATTTAACTGTCGAAAGGAATCGAAAGAAACTGCAACAGGACTTCGAAGGGTGGTTCAATACAATTGCCAACAGAGAAGAAAATGAACTCCCTGTACTCCCCAACTCCCCGCGAGGTAATAGTACTATTTCTGGGCTCCCTGTTTCTTTAGATTCGCTTCACGAGAGTATATGGCCTAATGCGTATCCTCAGAAAGTCGAAAGCAAACTTGCAGTAAACCCAACACAGAAAAAGACCTGCTCCATCACCACCCCTTGGCCTAGCCCTCGCATTGCTTTTCCTCCGGGTCCAGAGAACACAGACCAGCAGCTGACTTCGGCAGTAGCACCACCAACAGCAGCATCATCAACTCCGTCCTTTCAGGGGGTGTCTGAGCTGCAGCCCGCTGCTACAGCAAGCATCAAAGCATGGGCTTTAGGGCCCGTAGATATGGGCACGCATTGCTTCGCTTCTAATCGCGCAGATGATCCTTCCCTTCTCTCTGCTCAGAGCAATTATCCACTAGACAGTCGTCCCGTAGGCGGCAATCCGCCTAACGAGGTGTACACCGGAGACCCCTCAGCAGATGCAGACATCAAAGCGTTTTATGAGGCAGTTGCTGCGGGGACTGGGGCCCCGGTGACTGGGGAGAACAAAGGCAAAGAAGAAAAACAATTGTGTTAATCCAACAAAAGAAAGAAGGCAGAGGGACAGATCCAGAAGCTTACAAGCGTTTGGATTTTAGCCCGTGTACGCGTTTCTACGCAGGAGATCAACACAAAGCAAACAGCAGCTTGACTATAGTTGCACCAGATGCCGAGCATTAGAGGCATCGTAACTCTGCTACGCAGGTGTCAGTATGGTAGGCTAGTGGTGCAGGCACAATTAATATGCGTAATATTTAATAGATTATGCGCATCATATGAACAGAGATATGAATATGCATATATGTATATACATACATATATATATGTATGTTGATATGAACAATTCGCGGTCGTTATGTAAATTCCGTCGCAACCCGCTACTGAATAAGAGCGAAGTGTACGAAAGAGTCGTTCGTCGATAACTTCTTTCCACTGTTCGTTTAAGATTATTCGATGCAATGCCCTCCTTTAAAAGCAATCAAAAGATGCAGTGGAGGTGGCAGGAGAGCTACAGCGTTACTTGTTTGTTGTTTGCTCCCTGAATGCACAGAGTAGCCGAAACATAGTTATATATGGTTCTTTCAAGTTTGTTAACTTTAAATTTGGAAGTTTAGCCCTTGTATGTTTCTTAGTCCTCGACGATTAGTATGCATCAGTTCGTGGCAGCAGGCTGCTTCAAGAGGTCTTTGTTTCTTGTTGGATTTGAGGGGGAAATATTCTTAAACTATTTCTCACTACACTAAAAAATACTGAAGAAAGAAACCACTTCATTGGGTTTCTCTATGCATTCACAAGGCACGAAAGAAAAGAGGCGAATTGCACTTTCTACCTCCTGCCACTGCAACTGCATATTTGACTTCTCCCAATAGCAGTTCTAGGATTTAAATGTTTACTTGATACCGCCATAGAGCCCAAAACATGCACCGTACAACACACGCGCTAGACCCCTAAGCTCCAAAACATAAATACTAAACTGTAAAGCCTATGGGAGCATGCGTTCGCCTTGTGGCTGCCTGCTCTTCTCGTTTTCACGATATACAACAGAAAATGACCATCAAACCACTGCAAATACAGCCTCTAGAAAACAGGCATGGAGTCGGATTGGTAAATACGGCATAACTTAATAATTACTTATCTAGTTAATTAGTGTATGCGTATATGTATTCATTTACTTATTTCATTTTTCGTTCGATCTGTCCACTGGCCGCATTAGGAGTGGCATTGGCTGTGGGGGTTTTGGGTGGAGTGTTGGCATAATCTTTTCGCAGCTGCTTCTATATATTTCAACAAGGCCATTTTTGCCTAATATAAAAATGTAAATCTAATGTCTTAATATAAGTAGACGGAAGACGATGAAGGCTAGTGTGGAATTCTAACAGTCACGTGCTTGTTTTGGGGCTGCATGCAGAACCGGCCAGCTCTGTATGCATTTTTATAACTACTCACTGCTCTAACAGCCTTAAGAAGTGTTTCTTAAGGCTGTTAGAGCAATGCAATGTTTTACGCTGGTATAGACTGTCTGGATCTTTGTTTAATTCCAGCTAATAGGCCGAGTATAAATACCGACTCTGCCGAGCCATCGCTGCGCCTGTAAACCCCATACCCTAGACCTAAAACCCAAACCCTAAACCCTAAACCCTAACTCCATAACTCACCCCTGTAAAGACGCGCGCAGCTTAGATCGGAAGCAGGACGCGGCAAAGTATCGTCTGAATAACTCTTATTACACGAGGAGCTTCCTTTTCCTTAGGCTGCACAAGGCGTCCTCTAATATGCATCTCTGCACACCTCAAAGCAGATCATATCTCTTAACACTTAAAGGTACACGGTAAATTAATGAGTTTATGCCGTATCTACACATGCAGTATGGAGTTGGACCGAACGAAGATCGCTTAAACTCCCGTTCAGGGTCACTTTTGTTGGTGGAGACTCCCTCTGCATAAGCTGTGTTTCTCCTGTTTCTGATTCCATGCAACTTCAGAGATTTTCCTGCACAAGAAGTTCACAAATTATCACGTACTGGGCACGCATTCCTGTATATATATATATATATATATATATATATATATATATATATATATTCGAATGTGTGATATATATATAATACATTCGTACGTGTATATTCTTACAAAACGCATACGAATTTCGGGCCCTTTTCAGTGCGTTTGTATCATTTATGTCCCTTTGAATGTAACTCCGGTGCGTACATGAGTTTCACGCATCAACACGAAAACAACGCAGGTTAACAGCACTGCCTTCAGTCTTTGCCTAGTCATGTAGGAAGGGCTCTTCCTAAGCATAAACCCTAAACTCTAAACAATGAAGACATTAACGCACACAGAATGAATTTCAAGTATAAAAAAACAGCAGCACACATAGGAACCCTAATTGTCAGTTCGTAGTCTTGCGGAGGCAGCATCAGTCAAGTTTTGTTTAAAACATTGGGAATAAGGGGTTAATGAAGCACCGGTATTTAGAACAATCTGGCCACTTCATTTGGTACTTTGTATTTCCGCTTGCAGTCATACATGATTGAACGATGGGCACCGCACACAGGTAAAAGCAACTCACGCGCCTAACGAGAAAATTGTGCAGTTCGTTTTTTCTGCTATTCAGGAACAGAACACAAACTTGAATAGAGAGAAGACGGGTCAAAAGAAAATGGAAAAAGAAGAAGAATTTATCTCCAATGAACTCGCCCTACTTACGGGTAGCAGTTTAAATGATGCTTTCTAAATGCTCTCATTTGCTTGTTTACCGAGAACGTACAGTTTTTTTAGCACCCATTGCTCAGTATGCCTATTTTGTTATAATTAGCAATTACCGTACTGTAAAATTTTCGTAACAATGAAGGTTGACTAGCTCAACTGCATATAGGGAATGCGTTATATGCTTGTATCTACTACATGCTCATAATTACCCCGCTTGTTTGTTTGGTTGTTGCTCCTAATTGCTCTTTACCTGGATAATGCAGATTTTTACTAATCGAATAGATCAGAGCATTATTATTATTGTGGCTAAATGCACTCCGTATTAAGGGGAAGAAGGGTTCTCCAAAACATCGTTCTGCTTTCTACGAGATGCACTTGCATTTCCTCCTTCGCAATTAGACTAGGATGCCTATCCAAATATGTACCCGTAAAATACGATAACAGTTTTGTTTTTCAGTTTTTTATTAGTATAAGTGTATAATACGACATGTTTTATTTAACAACAGCATGCAATACGGGGGCAACTTTAAGTACAGTTTGCAGGCAAAGTGAATTGCTGACCCGTAGCTGATCGTGCGTTTCAAAGGCCCTCACATTGTTCTATTTAACCATCAGAACAGGCGAATGCTGAACAACAACACCTGGTCTTAGGTTTAAGAGACCCTCACATTGTACAACTCACCAGATGGCAAAGCAGGCAAAGAATCAACGACAATAGATGATCATGCTTAATATACTGTCAAGACAAAAAACTAGGTTTTAGGTTGAAAACAGCATTAGTATACTACTAAGAACATAAATCAAGCAACGGATCAACAAATGATTATTTTGAATACCTTTAGGTCCTGCCTCACCCGAAGCTCAAGGCCTCCCCCCCCACCACCCGTTGCTACGGGAGGCGCAGGCGGCTTTGAAAGAGCATTTGAGGAAACGCCTTCAAAGTTTAGACGAACAGTTATTTGATTTAAATGCAGAAACAAAAAAGGTAGACAAAGAACACGAGGAGGTCGGACAGAACCTCTACAACGAGCAACAACGAGTTAGAAGCTTCAAAACGCAAATCACAAAGCTGACAACTGAAGAAGAAGAGACAAAAAAAGTAAAACATGTTCAAATGAACAAACTACAATCCTCTCTACTGATCTGGCGACTGCCAGGTTCTCCTTGTGGATCAATATTTGCCGGTGTTCGCCTGGTGGCCTCATCGCATTTCGCTGTTTCCTTTCATTTCCTACTTTGATCTGTTTCCTGTTTCGCGGTGTAACTCGGATTGTTTGAGTGCGAGTGTGGATATAGTCATGAAAGTAGTTATAACTTCTATCTGCACTCGATTCCATCGAGTGCAGATAGAAGATAAGCACTGCATTGACTTACACAAGAACGCGATGATTACGCAGATAGTCACAAGCACAAATAGAATAAGGCGAAGTCAGGCAAGGACAACAACTACATAGGTGTAAGCGCAAGAAGAATAAACAGAAAAAAGATTGGCAAAAGTCATTCTCCCCAAGAAGGCTGTAGGTATTTAATTTTCATCTTGTGCATCCAGCGGCGGAGGGAAAGTGAAGAAGTGCTGAAAAAGACAATTGAACAACTTCGCGAAGAAGAAGCAGAAGTATTAGCAAGGAAAAGTGCTCTTTTTAAAGCACAAGAAGATTATAACGACCTCAAATTTGCGCTGCAGAAGGCCCAGGAGCATACCGCCAATATAGAAAATGCTATCAAGGTACCTACACCCCAAATAACATTGAAGGAAGCGCACGACGAGAAAGAAGAAGAAAAACGTGCAGCCAGATGTTCAAACGATGGCCGCGATTCAACCATCATAGTTATATTAACATATTCAAATATGATATGTTTCATATGATGCGTACCGTATATATATATATATATATATATATATATATATATATATATATATATGCATATGATGCATACGTGTTTATGTGTACGGCATATGCATGCTCCACATGTACAATGCATATCGTTCCAGTTGACGGAAGCAAACGAAATGCAGAAGTAAAGGGGGGAAATGTCGAGAGTGGCCTTAACGGGTGGAAGCAAAGTGCATGCATGCAACGACGCGCACTAGACGTCATCCCCCTGAACCTTAGACACAAAGCTGACAGTAGCAACTCGCAGCAGCAACAGCAGCCTCAATTAGTAGCAGCTTCTATCAGTCACAAACTACAGCGACTTCAATGTGGAATAACGCGAGATCCAGAGGATAGCAACACCAGCGAACAACAGCAACAACAACAGCGAGTAAACAATGACATAAAAAGCACAAAGCAAACCCTAAAGATCTAACTCGACGAAGGCTAAGAAATCTAAGCAACAAAGTGAACAAAAAATTTCAATTGAGAGCAGCAGACAGCATCAATACGCAACAGTCAATAATGCACAGCAACAAACAGATAGATGCTGGAGTTGCAATCGTACAGGAGGCAACATCGGTGCAATAATCAAAACCCATTCAACGGAATACAATATAAAGAGACGCAAATAGGGGAAAAGCCAACAGCAGCAGCACCAATAGCAACAACAGCAGCCACCATAGCAGCAACAATAACAGCAGCGGCAGTCGCAGCAGAAACAAACAGTAACACCACCAACCACAACTACGACATCCGCAAAAAACGACCCCAACAACAAAACAACTATAATTCCGGCAACAAGGGCACAGAAACAGCAGCAGCAACACCAGCAACAACAGAAGCACCGGCAAGACTAACGATAGAAAAAGCCAGTAGCAGCAAATACCTTGAAATGCTCTTGAGCACATACTGCTTGCTTGTTTTGTTATTTTCAGCTGAAGCGGCGAGAGCTGTACAAAGATGCCGAAGACTTGCGGCAAAGTGAAATAATCAAGATGCGACAGGACTTCTTCTTAGACCGGCTCCATAACCAACTGCGCGAAATGAACGAAGAAAAAGAATTCATAAATGCACAAATCAAAGCTCAACAAGCCGACCTACAAGCGTGCAGGACATCCATTCAAGAGGCGCAGCGTGGGCTCTAGGGTTGTGGGATTAGTGTTCAGAATATGGGGATTATGGTCTAGGGTGCACGGTTTACGGATCAGTGCCTCCTGTAGAACTCGGAAACAGAAGCCCTTTACACGCACCCTCTAGGCCCTTAAATAATGAATCTTCCATGTGAACTTCGACCCGTAAACCGTGACAGTGTGAATACTATCATTAAACAGAAAACTTCCTTGCCCAAACTTCTTAAACCTCAGACCTCACGGGCTCGCGCTTTACGACTGGCCATACCCTCAACTGCGTTTGCTAAGTGTGTTGTTGCTTGCTCCTTGTGTGCCAGTGTGGAACAAACTCCTAATCCCTACACCACAATCCCACACACACACCACAATCCCTAAAACCCAAGCTACAAGCGCAAACTCCTGCATTTAGGGAGGACCGCAGTGTCTCTAACGCATAAACCCTACACCTAAAACTCGCTCATCCATGTGCTTTCTAGGATGCGTATTCAGGGGAAACCGATGAGATAGTGCGAGGGAAGCGACAGCTGCGAGCTCAGCTCAACAACTGCATGCAGGGATTAGAACTGCGGTATAAAGCAGAACAGAGCATTAAACAAGCTATGGAGGCACAGGAGGCAAAAACTGCAAACGTACAAAATGACGTCAGGGAAGTTGAGGTAAGAATAGCCAACAAATAAACAAGTAAGTAAATACATAATTAACAGAGCGCCAGGTAAATGGGTTATAAATAAACAAATAATTAAATATATATATATATATACATACATACATGTATATATATATATATATATATATATAT